TTGTCCCACTACAACTCAATAAAACTTTTTACATTCTGTTTGGAGGCTGCAAAGTTATTGTTCAGAATGCATGAGTTTGAAATGTCATGGGACTCTAGAACCTCTTAACCATGTCTCTACCTTTGTCCTCTAAGAGAGGACTTGCATAACCTGCTATTCACTGTTTCTACAGCATACTCTCCTTTCCCTGTATTTGCCCCTCAGATCATGTGTTTTCCAGGGCCCCTATAAGTTTTCCTCATCTCCTGAGGTGATTCCTTTATTACCTCACAAACTCCTCAGTTGAATTATATCTCTACTCTATTCTTTCACAACTCTTCTCTATGCTATTTGTATATGTGACTGCACCGAACACATGTGGTGTGTGCAGTACACTAAGTCAACACTCTGAATATGAGCCACCTCTCTGTAGGGGCATAATTTGTATTTGAAAATAATTCTACCTTGCTGAGACCTAACTCTACTGAAATTGTCAATTTGAGGATTGTATATATTTTTTCCTCTATCCCATGTTTTCCTATATTACATTCCTCCCCTCCCCCTGGACAAAGTCCTTAATAAATAGATCAGTCAGCCAACCAACAAATATTCCTTGAGCTAGGCACTGAGAAGGTGACGCGGACCCAACATGTATACTTGAGGGTATGTGGCTCATCATGCTTGTGGGAATGCTAGTGTTGGTAAAGCCTTGAGGATTCCGAGGCCTTGCTTTACTGAGGGTCCTGAGGCCCAGGAAGGTAAAGTGATTTGCCAGAGATACATCCAGCAAGTTGTTGGCGGAGGCAGGAGTCCTAACACCAAGCCCAGGGGAGAAGGGAGAGAGGAGAGAAGAGATGGGGAGGGGGGTGGACACACACACACACACACACACACACACTGACAGAGACAGAGAGAGACAAAGAAACACACACATACACACTCAGAGAGACAGACATAGTGACAAAGAGAGAGACAGAGACAAAGAAACACACACATACACATACCTAGAGACAGACATTGTGACAAAGAGAGAGAAAAAGAAACACAGAGAGAGAGCGAGAGCAAGAGAGAGAGAGAGAACGAGAGAGAGAGAGAGGGAGAGAGAAATGTTTTTGAGAAACAAGAAACCCAGATTTCACAGAGCATCTACCAAGAAGCAGTGGTTTGCTCTACCATTGATGATCAACCTAACATCTTCACATGAAATGGGTAGCCATGAAGCTGAGAAGTATGTGTGTCTGGAGGTGTTTCAGTAGAGACTAGGGAGTTATCTAGCAGAGAGAAGGTAGCAGGGAGGTCTAGGACTGGACAAGCCTTGGATTGGATGCTCAGTATTTGTCCGTGTTGCAGGTTGTGAGAAACTGACCAAGAATGAACAGATGAAGAACTGGAGGAACTAGTAGATCTCACCAACAAGTAGGGCCCAAAGCTAATGTTTAGGACCTTCAGGAGGGTTGGGAGTAACATGTACAACTGTGGGCAGTGGGCTTATGACATGTCCTGATGGATTCCCATGAGAAGAAAAATCCATATTTGAAGATATTTTACTAATAGCATGAACCTGTCTTTAAGTAGCTGTCTTCAGCTGCAGCTAGAAGCCATACCTTTCCCCATCAATGCATAGACATTCTAAGCACGATTCGGTATGTGGCTTTTTGGAAAGTGAGGTGTTACCCTTTTCTCTCTTTACAGAGATGTAAGGCCAGCTTGTAGAGAAAGGTAAAAATCAGATATTTTACTCTTCATACAATGACTTCCACTGATTGAAGCAAACCTAAATGTTGATTATTTTATTTCATCAGATCATCTTTATTTGGTAGAGTTGGTTTGTGTATGTGTGTGCATTCTAGGAGGGGAGAGAAATCTCTGTTTCTTTGTCACCACTTTAATAAGTGGTCAGATGAAGGATCATACTTTGTTTTTCTTCACATGGTGGAAGCGTGGGGAAACTCATTTCTCTTCACACATAAACATGGCCCTGATCCCCTCTTTCATCTATTTTGTGCCACTCTGCAAACTTTTCCCATGGCATCCACATTCTGTTTACAAACCAGCTAATAAAATGTGTGTGATTTCAAAAGATTTTACTTCCATTTATGTTTTGTTGGCACTTTCAAATGTCTCCACATTCTCTGAAAAGCACGCACTGTTTAGCATGAACTGAACAAGCTGCAATCATATTCACTAACCAACACACAATTTTGGACAAGAAAGCTACTTTAAAAACCCTAAAACACATCCACGTAAAATACTCTTGGGTTACTGTTCACAGCTATTATTCTTTCACATATTTTCAAGTTTTTAAGTGATCCAAGAGTTCAAATGTCATCACTAATTTTGTCTGGGTTTGTTTTTTGTTTTGTTGTGTTTTTTTTAATCACTAAAAAGCATCCTCAACAAATGTCCCTGGACTAAGACCTTCCATTGTGAAAATGATTCTGTCTAGTGCTGATAATATGAAGGATACGCTTAACATATCACAAGAGGCAACAATCACAATCTAATTTGTGAAGAATTTAAAATAACCTTAGTGATATTATTATTATGGTCCACAACAACTTTCAGACACTGGGGAGGGTCCTTTTTGAACAGTTTTTCAGATGATAAAACAAGCTCAGAGAAGTTCTGATACTTGTCTTCTGCCTTGCAAATGGATGATAAGTCTCTACTTGGGGACTTGTCTAGAGTTATTCAAGAAAAATTGAAGGATTCCAGTATTTCCTCCCATATTTTTATATTAGTTGCTGTTGTTATGTGCTGTCGAGTTGCCTGTGACTCATAGCGACCCTATGTACAATAGCTCTAAACCCTGCTCTATCCAGTGCCAATCTTATTGTCTCCAACACACCTACCCATATTACCCTGGTCACTGAATCAAACTATCTCATCAAGGGTCTTCCTCTCCTGTGCTGTCACTCCACCCTCCCAAGCATGATGTCCCTCTCCAAGGACTAGTCCCGCCTTGCAACATGCCAAAGTGTATGTCAAACGAAGCTTCAAAATCCTTGCCTCCTAGGAGCAGCCTGGCTTCACCCTCTCTAGGACAAACAAACTTGTTTGTTGTCCTAGCAGTCCATGATATATTCAACCCTCTTCTCCAGCACCACAGCTCAAAGGCATCAATTCTCCTTCTATTATCCCTGGTCATTGTCCAGCTTTCTGATGCATAGCAAGTAACTGCAAAGACCATGGCTTGTATAGTAGATTCTACTTTTTAAATACAAGTAAGTAAATACTATTTTAAGACTATTACTATTTTAAAAATGTAAATATGAATTTTAACCTTCTTTCCTTTTTCCCACTAAAGAATCACTGCCATAATTTTTTACAAAAGCTACTGAAAAAACCTCACAAGCAAGCAAAAAAACCCCAAAGCCCAACCCCACAAAACCAAAATAAAACAAATCCCCCCAAACTAACAAATCAAAAGAAAAAAGCAAGCTTCCCATTGATGCTTTATGCTAAGGTACTCAGTTTTAGTCTTATAAGTTAAGACAGTAGGGCCATATTTGGAGACTGCTCAAAATCCAAGAACAAAGAAAAATGTAGATTATTATTATTTTTGTTTATTACTTGCATGTGAAGGATTATGCTTAGTGGCCTGCATTCAGTAGGGTAAATAAAATAAATTCTCTGGTGGCTCATGTGTGGAAAGGAGGCAGGGAGAGCAATTTTGCGTTAATTTTTTTATCACATGTAGTATTTACCAATGCATATTAGAGGGAGAATTTAATTTCAGAAAATTGCTTAAAGACGGGGCATGAGTCAGGGCTTCTAAGTTAAGAATGCAGGCTCTTGCATAGTGCTGTCTAATCTGGACGTTCGCTTGTACATACCTTCTTACCAGTCCATACTGATTGCTACATCACAAAGATTCAAAAGGACTAGAGAGAGCAACATGGTTTACTTATCGCAAAACAAAAACAAACCCCAAACACCCAAACTCACAACAAAACCAAATAACAAAACTCGAACAGGACAAAGCCAACACTAGGATTAATTAGTTCTTTAGAAATTCCACAAGAAAATCTCCCCTACAGGAGTTCTCTACTTCTTCAGAAAGGGAGTTTGAAGCTGACCATCTGGCTGACTGGAGCATCAGCCGTGCTCCTTGCTGGAAACCAGAGTAGACAGTGAACCTGCCAAATTGCCTCACGCAGGTCCCAAGATTCACCAAGCGGTTGAGGAAATTGTTAAGTTCATTACCCACAGGATTTCTCATAATCTCACCTGCAGAATAACCACCTCATGTTAAAAAATGGACACAGTGGTGAAATGACACTTAGGACATTCTGCATGAAGCAAGGTGAAACGAAATTTTGTCTTACTGTGCTCTCAGTATTTCAAAATACACCAGTGAGCTTTAGAGCTCTTCAAGAAACAAGGGTGTAGAGTGGACGAGAAGGATAGATGGTCTTCCCTGAACATACTGGCACATAGAGTCGTTTCCTTGAGTCACATCTCAGAGGCTTCATTCAGGGAAAGACAAGCTAGGGACAGCGGGGGAGCCTCTTGCTTTTGTAAACACTTTACAGAGCCGTACTCTTGTTTAAGTATTGTGTAGGGCTGCATTTGCACCACAATAACAGAATTGAGTAGTTGTGATCGAGACTTTATGAACTGCAAAGTCTAAAGCATTTGCTACATAGCCTTTTAGAGAAAAGGTCTGATGATTTCTTGTCAACACCCACCATGGAGCACACTCTGGGAGCACTTTTCCCCAAAGGACGCAACCACCATGGGTGTTTGATACATCTGTGTGGTACAGATGTGACAGCAAGGCACATAGCTCTTGTTTATCTTGTGTCTAAGAGAAAGATTCTAGTTTATAAAACATTTCTCAACCCCCTCCTCCCATCCACTTGGGCAAGGGGGTGATGGGAGGAAGTACCCATTCACAGTTGGGCAAGGGGATGATGGGAGGAAGTACCCATTCACAGTAAAAACCATCAATCCATTTCTGTATGACTCTTCAGCCACTTGTACCCACACTCCGATGGTATCAAAAGAGGTTTCCTTACTTGACTGGTTCCCATGACTCCCGCTCAAAGCCCCTGTGAATGGATTGTGCAATTGAGGACTCCATCAAATCCACATATCTAACAACAAGTGGGGCAAACAGGTCTTGCAGGTGTTTGTGAAATTTTCCATTGCACAAATTATCTAGAACAGATAAGCAAAAGCTGGGTAAGAAATTAGAGTTGCTTTATCAATGTACTGCATACACACAGAGGCAATTGTCTTTTATGTTAAATATGGTCTTGCTAGGGAAGCCCAAAAGAAGCATGCATTGTCCAGAGGGGGCTTCAGGGAATCCCGTCTCCCTGTCCCCTCCTCCCGCCCCCACATAATAGGCATTACTCTTGGAAGGGCAAGTGTCCACCATCTTCCTCCAGTGTTTGTGTTAGGTGGTAAAGTGCATCCACAGGACTGTGTCCAACATGGGCAGAGTCAGTGGCAATGGTTGTTGTGGGTGCTGTGGTGTAGAACTGTGACAGGATATGTTCCAATGTGGGCTGATTCTACCCTCTCCATGAACCAAGGTATGTGGAAACACAGTGTGAGTGTCTGAGAGAGGAGGAAGGATAGCCTTACTGTAAGGCTGACCAGTGAGTCGCATTATCACGACTGTTTGAGAATGTATAGGGAATCCATGAGATCTTTTGAGAATGTGTGCAAGTGAGTTAGTGAGAGACTGATTGAATGGGTGGTTAAGATTGTGTGTGATTTTGTTACTGTGTGCTCTTGTTTTCTTACCACCCTGTGACAACATGTGACAGTGAGTGAGAAGACCAAAAAAGTACATGAATAGCATTGGAGGTCATGCTTAAATCTGCTTGAAAAGAAGATGGAATTGAAAAAATATTTTCATTTAACTGTCCATGCTTCTCGATTGAAAGGAAGAAGACTCATGCTCCTTGCAAAAGCAACAATTTACACCATTTCTCCCCCACTCCCACCTCCCTCTGCTTGCACTCATTAGATTAAAAGAAGGAAGAACATCATTCTTTTCCTTCACTATCCTCCCTGGAGAAGAAGGTCTACGTTTCAGTTATGTGCCATGGTAACATGTAGTGTGCTTAGTAAAAATTTTTTTTTAAATATATAGAAATCATCTTTTATTAAAAATGGCCAAATGTGAAGGTGTTAATCAACTTGGTCAAGGAAAATGAAAATACACAGGATGGATACCACTTCTGACATGATCTGAGCTCATCTACCTTGTAAATAGAGGGATTCCTCGCAACAGAATACTTGTTGGAGGAAATGAAATGTCCATCAACTTTAAGAGGTTCCCCCCCCAAAGTACTGCTAACTACACTATGAAGGACTGTGCCCAGCCTGAAGTCAGCCCGGGATAAAGCTCTTTTAGCAACCTGGTTATCTGCACATAACACACAAGAAGTCCAAACAATCTAAGACGGTACCTACAGTCAGTACGGAGAAAGTCGTTCAGCAGCTGGAACAGAGGAAAACTGTCCCATGTGTCCGGGGGCTGCACCTCTAATGCTGCATCCATGTCCACAGCAAAGAGCGACAGGAACGTCTCGGCATGCTCCACCATTAGGTCTGACCACCACGCAAAGGCCTTTGAAATGCGGCAGAAAAGTAAGAGACAAAGATATGATGAGCTTCCTTCTCTGATGCAAGACACCAACTCAAGACCTCACTTGTTCAAGATTGATTGTGCATCTAGCAGGGCCCGGTAACTTTATTGTAAAGAGAACAGCATTTTTGAGAGAACCGAGTCTCCAAGTGTCCAAAGCAGAGCTTTTCATGATGCCAGCTGTTCCTTAGAGACCCATCCTCTGACCACCTGTTGGCCAGGGATGCTGCTACAGAAAGGACGGATGTTCAACTTCTGTTCAATTTACAATAACTCAGTATGTTTGAATCATGCTCTTTGCTATCATTGTTGGCTAGGTCTTGCTCTAAGTTATTAGAATTTGGGAGTTTCTTCACTGTGTTTATGGGTTTTCTGCTGGTCTGCTAACCTCAGAAATTGTGATTATTGTTCACCTTACAGCAGTGCACCTGGAGTGGAATTGCCTATGGGTTTATACAAACTCAGAGAGCCATGTTTCTCTAAATATTGGGGATATTTCTCCTATTTCACACAAAGCCAAAGGGAGCTATTGTTGCAATTGCTACAATGCTTTTGAGTCCAAAATCTCTTTAACTAGGGAGTCTTTGTTTTTGGTAGTGGTCTGTCTGAAGAATCAGGCTTTCGGCTAGGAGATACGGAGTAACATTAGGACTTACTATTCTGTGGGGCTGGGCACGTATGTACATTGAAAACCAAAAAATATCAGTGAAGTAACTCATTTTCATGCATGTAGGTCCTCGGAAATCATTGTGCAGGGTCTGGGGGATGGACATTCGCATCGGACTGGGCCAGATGTGAATGCAACTCGAAGGCATGCATGCATGTTGACTGATCATTTCTGGCAGGAGGCATGCAGAATGAGTGGTGGCGTCAACAGGCCCCTTCTTGCTGATTTCAAAGAGAGCAGGGAAAAACCACCCCAAACAAACCAGACCCCAAAACAAACCACTAGGCCATCCTTGTCCTCCACCCCCCACCCAATGCCATAAAGTATTTACATTGGAAACACTTTCTGAAGCATTCACCAAAACCAATTATAAAGAAATAATAATGAAAAAAAAAGATGGGAAGGCATTTGGGAACATGAAAGATGATTATGGAAATAATTCCATAAATGAAAGAGTTTGTTCAATGGCCAAGCTCTTCTGTGATCTATTAGTTATTGGGGATATCTGAACAGCCACAAAGAGGCAGGCTACGAGTCTCCCTCTCTTCTTTCATGAGATTTCATTTTACTTACTTCTCCTTTATCAACATGTGGCTGGTTTGCAAATTAAATGGAAAAAATCAAGTCATGGACCATTCGGCAAGGTCTGCTTGGCTGGAAATAGACACCTGCTGTTTCCATTTTACTTTTACAATAGAATCTCACTGGTTCAGAGTGAGGGGTGGAGGGGATGAGATGCTAGCGTGTCAGCAGAATAGCCTGTACTACTGGGCTTTCTAAACAGAAAGATCAGTTTACTGCTTCCCAATGCAGCCTGTAATTGGGCACCAGCTAAGAAGCTATTCATGTAGGTGACACAGGTTTTCATAAAAAGGCATTATTAATAGAAAAGTTTTTTTAAGAGTCTAGTAATTATAAGGTAAGCTGATCTATATACACCTGAGACAAAGGGAAGCATTAATTTCCTAGAAATGGAAGAAATGGAGAAAAAGTTCTGGGTTCCTCTAACTTGTGAGAAGAACCTTTAGAATTGCCAGAGAAATTGGAGATTGTCTAACACTTAAGGAAAATGCAAAGGATCACGTCACCAATTCAGTCATCACAAATGGAAGTATATGGGTCTGAACCAATGAGGTTTTATTGTAGTGTTACCACCAGACCATGAAAACCCGGATGCCTGGGGCTTGTTCCACTCACTACCTGGCTAAGTGCACCAAGACCAACACCAAACCCACTGCCCTGGAGTCCGTTCCAACTCACAGTATCCCCACAGGATAGAGGAGAACTGCCCAACGAGGGATCCTCAGGCTGCACATCTTAACGGAAGCAGATCCCCACATCCTTCTCCTGTGGAGCAGCTAGTGGGTTCTAACCACTAACTTTCTGGTAAACAGCCAAGCGCTTTAACCATGGCTCCACCAGAAACCTCCTAGCCAAGTCCAAGAAGAGGATGAAATTCTTCATTCCATTCCCAGAACTTTCCCCAGTCACCCAGCTTTTGGGGCTGAGACTGCTAAACACTGGAACTTGTTGGAGGCCCCGCCCACCCCCACCCCGGAGCCTGTTTAGAGGGTTGTCTCTCTGTAATCCTGATACAGGATGTTTGCGAAGTTAACACTTGCATGGCCAATGCAAATTCTTTTGTCACTGAATTAACTTTACATTTTCACAATGAGGGACAACTTCCGCTGAGGAAATGGAGCTGCCTACCCAGACACTCCCTAGGTTGAGGGCGGAAAATAACACCAAAGGAGAAGAGAAAGCAACCCTAATACCTGAACTTACAAGTGTCTCAATCCAACCTCATACCTGTCCTTTGCCATCTTTTGTATTTCAAAATTGCAAACCAGAGACCACAGGCAGCACCCACTTCTACTATCAGTTCCTGGTTGTAGTTTAATAAATTTCTGAGCAAATATCTACACTGGCTGTGTTAATCATTATAGCTAGGTAACACTGAAGAACAATGATTACTGTGACAAAAAAATGACCAATGAAGAAGCCTGGAAGAGGAATTTAGGACTCTTGCAAACCAAGATAATTTAATTTAGAAGCAGTAGAGACTGGAACTATTTCTACACATCCCCAGGCCAATTCTTTCAAAACCTCCTAACGCATGATTGTTTAAGAAAGACAAAAAAAAAAATTTCTAGCAGGAGAAGTAACAACCGAAGAGCCATATCTCTCATGAACAGAGTCTGTGTGACAGAGTTGGGCAAGATGAAGTTTTATGTCTTTGAAACAGTATTTATTTATTTGATGTTTGCTGACACAGGTTAGTGCAATTTTTTGTACATGGCTAATGTATTTGTGGACATCTCAAATTCTTAGGAACCTTTTTCTGAAGACAATGAAGAGTTTTCCTTGGCTTCTAAATACTTACCCAATCATTAACATTATTCAAAAGCAAGGACGTGGGCTTTAGGGTTACAGTCAACTGCACTGAACACACTGTATATTTTGCACACAAACTAACATGTATATATGTACCCCTCTGTATTCAACAATACATATATACATATACATACGTATACATAGAGAGAGATTGGGAAAGTGAAGCAACAATACATGAAGGCATAATTCATGTGTGTGTCCCTGTGTGAATATGGGTTTTAATAGTTTAGAAGCTGAAAACAAGATAAAGTAACAGTTAAGAGATAAATATGGTAACTTCTACTATATACTGTATATTTGTATATATGATATATTCTTAATTGCTGGGATTTTTTTTATCTTGATAGATTTATTGCTTTATTTTGAAATTAAGAATGGCTTTAAGGATTTCTTTTTTTCTCCCTGAGGGTAGAGGCAATTCGATTTGCCACATTCGTCTACATAGGACTACCAGCTATCTTAGCTGCACAGCCAAGATCCATGCTTATGATTTGATGATTTCCTTGGGTTTTACTTAGCACCCAGTAGGTGGGTCCCTTTCTCTAGGAAAATACCATCTTCAACTTCATCCTTTTGGGTAGCAACAACTCATCTCTGATGTCCCAGTGCAAAGTCTACATCTTCTGCTACAACTCCACATGTAATTCACTCATTGTTGAGTCGGCCTCCAGTGGGTTTTCAGAAGCTATAAGTCACATGGAAGATACACTTTCTCCCTTGGGGCTGATGGTGGATTTGAACCACCATTGAGGCCCTACCTTTGGATAACAGTGCAAATCCCTATAGACCCTACCTTTGGATAACAGTGCAATTCCCTATAGACTAGGCCACCAGAGCTCCTTTGCTTCAACTCAGTGGTTCTCAAATCTAGCTGCACTCTGGTCTAACCTGGGCAGCTGTAAGAGAATTACTAATGTTTGCCTCTCCCCTGTAAGACTTACATCAACTCAATTGGGGTGATCCCTGGGTATTTTTAAAGTGCTTCCTAGGTGATTGCAATTGACAGTGAAGGTTGACAACAGGTGGCAGGCTCTTTTTTGACCAATCCATCTTGAAGCTGTTCTTCTTTCTTTTGGCTGTATCGTTCACTTGGTACATTCCACGTAGGTTTTGTTCTTTCATGCTGATCTATTCACATGTGTTTGCTTCCTTTATGATTTCTTCCTAAGAACAGAATAGCCACTCTTTGTTGAGTGCTTATTATATTTCATGTGTAATAGCAAATGTTTCACTTCATTATTACCTCCACCAACGAGGTGGAAGTCACAAAGTCTGGAAGAGGTAAGGCTGGAATTCAGAGGCCTGAGCTCTTAGCTATTTTATGCTCTTCTGTTTGTAGGCTTAAGCGACCTTTTAACTCATTGTCCTTGAAAAAAAATCACCAAGGCAAGTGCCTGGGGGCTCAAAATACAATATGATCTCTAAGTAGCTTTTAACCAGTTGATTAATTGGTAATTAATATCAGCAAAGAGGTATTATGATTGAGTGAAATTATTAATTTGGTGCAGTTATCTAAAAGCAGATTTCGTTTCTAGGATTTCCAAGTCTGCTGAAGTTTTCACCACTAAGTTCTGATGTTAGGAATGAAATACGAACTGAATTAATTTCTGCCCTAGTTATTCACCCCAAATGGATTTTGACTGTGTAAGATTAAAATATATTGTGATGATGGTTATTAGCTTGTGATGATGGTTTAAGAGGATAATCAGTTTTGTGAAAAATAGCTTTGAGGAAAGTAGATATGTCTTCTTTGGAATGCCAACTTGCCTTTGGCAGATATTTTGAGTTTGGAAGAGAACAGGTCCATTCTTAGCCTGGTAGTGACCTTGGAGAATAACTGAGTGAGGGGAAAAGTTCTGGTACTCATGTCTTTAAAAAAAAGTATGGGTTTTGTCAAACCTCAAACACTAAAATCAGGGGAGACCAGGTTAGATCCCCACCATACCTCTGGAAACAATTCTGAGGACACCTGGAAAAAAATGTACTTACCATTTCTTAAATGCTAGATGCCTCAACCCCCCAAAAATGTAGACTAGACCAGAGTAGAGGAATATTCTAATCCAGATTGCTTTCTATATGGCTGGAAGATAATCCTGGGTTCGTATATCTGAGGTTACTGATTTGCTCCCCTTCTCACTCATAGCTGTGCCTTGCTGGGCACAAGATGAGTTAGTTACACCATCTCATGTAGAAACTCTCACTCTTGGTGGGTTTGGGAAAGAATGTTTCTTCGGCACTCTCTCTATATATAAATACTGTATATATGATTCACATACAGACGATTCTAGAGGAAGATTAGTACCACTCTAGCTAGCTACTGGTTACTAGGTTTGTTACTCAGCCGCTGTAATAGAGGTACGTAGAGACAGACATAGGGAACTACAACAGGCTAAGGACAGAGTCAAGGCAGATAGGAGGCGTGTCTCGGGATGTAACTGCACTTGTTGTTAAGTATATCAATTGCTTCATGCACGCACACGAGAATCATCCACATTTACCCTGCCGTGGAGGGCCACCCATTTCACAAGCAGTCCACTGGAAGTTGCTGTTACATTCCTTGGTCAATGTTAGAAAGCAGGAGCACCCAGGAAAAGTCCCATTAGAAGACATGGTATTGGAAGGGCATGCACAGAGTATGACAGCAGGAGGCTGGTCCATTCGGCTTAGTCACATACCTCTTTCCCCTGCCACGATCAGCCAAGATTGAATGAACAGTAGAGAAACAGGGAGGAAATTTAAATATGCAATAAGGCATTAGTTGGGACAACTGGATTTATGGTGTATTATATATAATTTATCTATACTGTCAATTTTCATTTAGTAGTGGGAATGATTAATTGAGGTCCTTGATAAATCGCTTTTATGTAATGTTGTGTTTTTTTCCCCTCCCCGTCTACTTTAGATCTGGAAATAGAGGACACATGAGAATTAATGTAATTTTCCAACAGATGAGTTTTAAAAGTTATTAGATTTAATATTTTAAGTCTTAGGTTTAAAACAAGCAGTGATAGGTTTGTTGTACCCTGAGAAGATCTTGGAATCTTCTTTTGGAAGGGTTGGATGGCTTAAAGTCTTTATAAGTTTGAGATTTAATTAGTCTTGGAATCTGTCGGTTTATCAATCAAGATGAAAATTCTGATAGTAATTAATATAAAAAGGAAGCTGGACTTCTTTAATGTAGGTTGGAGAACTGACACGTTGAACAACACAGAATAATTCACTTCTTCCACTGCATTTAGCAACCCAAGAAATCGAAGCTTAAAAATAAAGACCACAGTCTAAGTGGAGTAAGTTACAGTGAGAAATTAAAGAAAGATGGTCCACGTTCCACACACCAAATAAAACCAATAAAAACAACAGCGTTGGCAACAAAACAACCACAAAAGACCAAAAAAAACCCCTTTTGTGCGTGTGTTCTGGACAGTGATAACCATACGCTGCTTGAATAAGTATCTGAGGATACTTACCTCTTTTGCTCCTTGAAAGAAATAGCTGGAAACTTGGGTGGAAAACTCAACCACTTTTTGGTTGGTATAAACAGTCAAAACTTCTTGCAAAACTTCCACTGTTTTTTCTTATTTTTGAGCCCAGGTGAAAGAATACGGGTATTTAGGCATTGTAGATGCAATCTGGCAAAGTAGAATCAGTCTGCAACCTTAGCTAAAGGGCTTTCGAGACATTCCCCACCACGCCTGCTCACCTCTGCATGGTGCTCCTCATTCTGCTGAAGAACTTCAATGACTAGTTCGGCCAGACGTATAGTGTCTTCAAGCTTTTTGGCAGGAGTGATTAATCGGCCTACATTTTCTGTAGTACAAGAATTTGTGTTAAGATTCAGAGAAAGCAGCAGGCTAGTTTGGTGGCCTTAGAACACGTGGATAAGAAATGTCAAATAGTTATCCATTTTTATAAGAGTCTCATGCAAATGTTAAGTGCCATGTATTTAGTAATGAGCAAACCATAAAGCCATTTATTATTACTCTCACCATCGTCATTATAATACATAGTAGGAGAAAAACCAGTGCTCCAGCTTTAAAAGTGCATATTCAACTCTATGCAGTCTTGGACATCCCATTTAAAATTTAGTGACCCTGTGCACACGTTCTTTAAAGACAGCATAAATGCACTATCTTCTATCACTCTCCAGACTGTGTTCGTGTTACGTGAAGTGGGAAGAGATCACAGAAGCTGAATCTTGATCGCAGCTCTATTTATTGTCTGTATTTGTCACTATGTATTTGATATGGGAGTATCGTTTTCCACTATAGGTCTGCATGTTGAGAGGTGTGGGGACACCCATTGAGAGAAAGCCCATTCAAAGGTTTCATGTTGTCCAGGGAGGGGACTGTAGAGAAAAAGTACACATTCCTGTGCCACTGGGTAGCTGGCAGGATAGAATTATTAAAAGGGTGTTGGGGTAGATTATTGGCAGTTTGTGACACTGGATAGTGACACTGAAATTTCAAGCAGTAACAAAACACTCAGACTTGGTCTTTGTTTTTTGTGTCCACTGTGTTGAAAGGGTGATTTTTCCCCCACACGGTTCACAAATAACTTCTGGCTAAACTGCATCCTCTGTCTAGAGTTTGGCAATGCCTTATGATGCCAACAACGATATATTTTTTTATCCCTTGGGGAAAAGAGAAGAATTTAAAAGCTAAAGGGCCACTTAGCCCCTGAAATTACCTCAGTTCCTCCAGTCTGATCTTACCAAGAAATGTTCTATTTCCTGTTGTTGTTGTAAGGTGGTGTCAAGCTGATTTTTGACCTCATGTGACAGATTAGAACTTCCTCATAGGGTTTGAGGGTTTTGTTTGTTTGTTTATACTCTATAGGGTTTTTGAGGGTGTACATTTTTCAGGAGCAGGTCAAGTTTTTCTCCCACAGAGCTGCTGGGTAGATCTGAACTCCTGACCTTTGGTTAGCCACTGATAACAGTGCAGGTTCCTTTATTTCTTGCTTAGCACCCTTCAGAACTTGAAGATGGGCATCAGTTTAATGAGAATGATGATCATTTGGGATGATCCTAGAAGCAGGCACATAGCCGTGTAAAAGGATTGCTGAAATAGTTTTCCCTCTTCAGCTGAAGGTGTTGGTTTCAGGGTTTTGGAGAAAATGACCTGATACTTCATAGGAAGTTTTAAAAAAACGTAATTCTTTCTATCTTCTTCTTTTTCCCCTTTTCCACAGGAAAAGGGAGTTTAAACCAAACCCTAGCCAGTTGTTATTGAGTTGACCCAAAATCATGGTGCCCCTATATATGTGCTTTGTAAGGTTTTCAATGATTGACTTTTCAGATGTAGAACAAAACCAAATGATAATAAATACTCAGGTTTCTTTTTTTTAAAAAAAGTCATCATTTCTTACACAAGTGAAGTGTATTCAGATCATCAGATCAGTATTTGATCATCAGAATAAGTTCAGTGGAATGGTATGCACAAAGAATCCTTCAGCCAGTGGGGGCTAAGAGTACTAGATGGAACTCGGTAAGATTACTTAAGCTTTGAAAGTCTCACTCCAATGAGATCAGACCACTATGTCAGAATGGGCTTTCTGGCCCCAGGTCACTATTGTGTTCTAGTGGAAATCTGGCTGGAAATGGTTATAACTTAAAGGTGAGAAATGGCTGAGAATATCTGATCTGCAAAGTAGGGAGATGTGAGAAGCTTAGATGCTAATAGTTAGTTCAGTATCTGGTCCAGAGAGTTAACTATATTGGGAGAAAGAATGAATGAAAATGTTCATGTCTGTGCTTTTTGGGAGCCCCTAGGCTATTTATAATTCCATAGTAGATTATCACAATTTCATTAGCAAACTTTCAGGCATTTCTACAAACATACTGTGTATATATGTTTGGGTAATATGTGTAGAGTGAGGTATTTGCATTTTGATAGTAAATATGCATAGGCTACTACTTTTTTATTAGTTGATATTCACATTTACACATCAATTTGCAAATTCCTCATGCTAGGCTTATTACCCATTTGACACATACACCTACAAACACACATCACACACTTACATACATTTTCTATAACCAGACAAGCCTGCACATTAACACAAATCTGCAGGAAGTCCTACCTGAGGCACATCTTTGAAATCTCTTGCTTTACAAGTAGACACCATTGTTCTTTTGGGTGGAATATTCACCAAATCCAGAGGTGTTCTAGCGGCACATGACATATCATGTAGAAGTGAAATAATTCCCACCAACAGTTTTATGCATTTTATAGACAAACTGTGAGTGATTTTTATGTTTGGAGAAATCCAAGATGCTGAAGCTGAGAGTCATCTGAAGATTTGCATTAATATACAAGGCTCTTAGATTGACTACAATATAGATCAGTGTATACACATAGAGTATACACGTGCACACAGCCACTTTATGAGTATGTGCACGTGTACACAGATACGTGTTTTCCTGATGTATATATACAGACAGTATGTTTAATAAAACCTTTTCCCAATTTTACTTGAAAGTGTGGCCATTAAAGTAAACAGGTTAAGAATCCTTTAATCCAGAGCACTTGATCTGCCAATTAACCCATGTACTCAGACTTTGATCTACTATTAATTAGCTCCTATTCCATTATATGTAGTTCAAGCCACTTTATTGAACCACAGGACTATTTCTGCCTTCATTTGCAAAGCTAATTTGCTAGTTAAATGGCAAAGATGTCATGAAAAAAAATGACTTCTCTAAGATGTTGTCTTTAAAGAAAATATTGTGCAAAATTCTCTGGCAACTCCTCCCTCCCCACAACAAAGATCAAGAAATTGTCATTAGAAATTATTTTTGTCGTCAATTCTACTGTATCGAAAGGTATTTAGATATTCCTAATTCCCAACCTTGTACTAGCTGGAGCACTGATGAAAGGGAACTAAAAATAGAGTATACTTAAGAAACATTTCATACGACAGAATTGAAGCTCATAACATAGAAAAAATTGTCATGCAAAATGTTAGGCAACAACAATGTTATTTTGTGCTGACATTGAGATTTGAAAATGTTGCATATGTCAGACATTGCTAGACGAAAAAAAATGTGGACATTTGGAAATAAATGCTCTCTTTTGAGTCTCTCAAAACCTACAGCATTCAACTCGAGAGCCTGATCCTCAGTTTAATATTCCAAACCGAAATTTCAAGAAGAAACGACAACAGAAAAGCGAACTAAACTAGAAAGCTGCCGAGTAAAGGAACGGTAGAAGTTTACAGTACTTGATTTTGGCCTAGGCATGCCTTTGAGCCTCTGATATAACATGCTGGTCTGCGTTTGAGTGGGTGGAGGAGGAGGAGGCCCACGAGGCGCCAGGGAAGCTGCTCACGTAGGTGAAGAGAGACAGTAAAAAAGTAAAGAGACAACGTGACTTTAACAAAAGGTGACAAGAGGACGAACTCTGAGAACAACAACCCAACAGGCAAAAAAACGATCAAACGCAAACAGAAAGCTGCTGCTTTCTTGGTGTTACTTCAACATTACAGAGGCGTGACATCCTTTGACAAGGAACGAGACTCTTACCAGAATCACCAGAACAATCTCTACTGAGACACTCAGAGGCTGCACGCACTCACTCACTGAGTCTTTGTCCAGATGGATAGAAATGAAAGATGGCGGCAGCATCACCGACCCAAGGGAGATAGACTTTGGTACAATAAAGGAACAACTATGTGTCAAACATGACTTCTTTTTTTTTTTTTAGATGATGAGAAGTTTGACATACTGATAGTTGGGGAAGCTGGCTTCTCCTCAATCTGCTATTCTACACACTCTCAAATGCGCTGTATTAACCTCTCTGTGCTTCAGCGTCCTCTTCCTCAAATTGGGAATCTTAAATATAATTTCTGTCTACCTTGCAGGATTGCTGACAGGAGCAAATAAAAAAGAACGTGTGGGACAAATCTCTGTAAAACATTAAGACCCTCCACTCATTTACTCTTACCTCTTCACTGTGAGGAGGCAAGAATGAACTGCTTTCCAAGAGCAAATGGAGGGCCGTGATTAGTTCAAGTGAGCTGGGAAATATTCTTGCTCCCTTTGTGGAATTTCAAGATGCAAAAATCTGTCATAGTTGGTTGGGTTTTTTTTTTAATTTTTTGGGGGGGCTGGGGGAGAAATGTGTGGTATCTGATTGTTTCCAGCTCATTTAATTATTTTCAATTTGGAATTCTCATGGCTTTTATATTGTGGGTTGAATCATATATAAAAACTTGCCAGCTTATCAAATATGTTACTTGCTATTCCAAATGTTAGAATACCATAATCAGCACTTGACCCATCTGTCATGTGATTTACAATATCAGCACAGCAAACATCCTATAACAATAGCCTCCCCTTCGGTACAGGCTCCGAGCATTCTCAATGTCTACTGTTCGCTCTCTCTTTAATGAGTGTCTCATTAACCTTGGACCTGCTCCTTCCTAATAGTTCTGATTTATAAAGCAATCTGTATGGTGAGAGGGACACACTCCATTGCCAAGTTTGCTTCTTGGTTTGCCTGAATTCTTAATTGAGAAAAGGCATTTTACTGTAGGTTTATAGGAAATGCAATTCTAGAGGCATTAATGAAAACCCATTGGGAAATAAAGAGACATATTCTGGCAGAAGCATCTATAAAAAGGAAATGTTATAATAATAATAATAATAATAATAATAATAATAATAATAATAATAATAAAAGGAAACATTGATGAGATTTTTGTTGTTGTTGTTGGACCATCTTTGTATTTTCAACGCAGGGTTGCAAAAAGAAAAAAAATTTAAAGTGCTTGTTATTGAAATTATTTGTTTGGTAAGACTATATATA